TCCTATGGTATTCTACCCATAACTTGAGTTGTACTCATCCAAATTACCCAATCTTGGTCTCTATGGAAAGCTAAGAGAAATATCTACAACTTCCATTAAGACAAAAGGGTCCAAATTTATCATATAAAATATGAAAATTGGACAATAATACGGGATATCTTTACTTCTACTTGGATTTTCCACTTAGAGGCCTCCTTTCACCTAATTGACCATCATATGATTCTTTCGATACATGAATTCTAGTCTTTCAAAGTACTCCTACACAAGAGAAACATGCATACCATTTTATCATACATATATCTCCATTAATTACAACTTTCAACATGTCTTAATTACAATTCATGGGACTTAGCTACAAAAAGAACTATTATCACTCCATTGGCTTTGAACAACAAAATAGGCACCAAAAGAAGTGAGTATAGGCTAAGTCCATCTATTAAGGCATGGTATACATATAACAATAGGCTTTCAAATATAGATCCTATACATGGTATTTCTACATGTCATATGTAATCCCAAAAAATTTCAACATCTTCATGCATCAACTAATCCAAATATGGCCATTTGCCACCGGAGGCTCCTGCAGCATCCTTTCCTTAAAGGGGGTCCCCACAACACGAGGTGAGATATACGAATATATCAAAGTAAACCAGGGGTCCTTGGAGCATCCCTCCACCCCATAGTTCAATATCAGTGTAATAGCAATAACAATAATAATGCAATAAATACATATCCATGCAGTGTGTAAACAACATCTCTAGGAGAAATCCCTCGAGCTCTCAAGCTGTCCTAAGGATACTTGATGCAAATAGTCCTACTGGCCAGCTAAACTACCAAGTATGATTTACGCATCGTCATGCAACATACCAACATAGGGAAACACCATCCTATGCCACACCAAAGCATACACATACGTATAACAAAGCATTAAACTATTTCATTGCATTTATATACACTATCACTACCACTACCTATTCAGGGCTTGGTGGAACAATCAAGGGAATTACACCCAAGGTCCGAAGGCTTACCTCAAAGCTTCAGTTCAACCTTTGTTCACCAACAAGTTTTGCCACCAATTACAATAATCACTTTTACAAACAACCACCTACACAAGGTGTAATGCAATCAACATATTGCATTCAAGAATATCTTATAATCATCAACCAAACTATCCAATTCATACCACAACAAAAGCATGGACTTACCTATTCCAATGAGCTAATCAAGCTCCATAGCTTGCTCCAATGGTTGGTCACTCAAGATTGGTCCAAATGCCTCAATCCTAGACATAACATGGACACCATCAATATTCAACCAAACCAAACCATTGATTTCTAATGCATGAAAGTCAAACATCAAGCATTAAACCTTGCAATTTTCAAAGCATAACCAATGACTATCTAAGCTCATTTTCACCGATTAAATGTCATTCCTAGTATTTTTCATAACATCCACTAAGTCCCAATCTTTCTAGAACATAGCCAATTTACTCACATTAACATAAAACCCTAAAACATTATTCATCACAACCTAAATCATGCAAAACTCAAGGAATTTGTGTGAAAGAGAGTGGAAAACTCACCACAATGGATCACACAACAAGGAATGGTTGTTCCTCAAGCTTCCATGGAGGTAGAAGCCAACAAATCCCTCAACTCCACCTAGGGGTCGGATTTTTGGAGGTTGAAATCTCACTCCACAAAGAATCTCACTCAAAACCAAGCTTTGATTGTGAAAGAGGGAAAGATTTGGAGTGGTTTAGACTTTGGAATGGATGAATTTGGCTAAGGTTTGCTCAACCTAGGGCTTCCCCCCTTCCTTTCTCTTCTCCTTCTCTTCTTCTCCTCTCTTCCTTCCTTTCTTTCTCTCTTCTGGCGCACGACGGGTTAGGGAAGGGATTTGGGTTCTTTTTTGTGTTGTATAGTCACTTAACATAAGTTAAGTGAGATCAAGTGGGTATTAGTTCATCTATCTATTTAACTCCATTAATTACCAAACTTTACCCAAATGTCTGGAATATTTTTCTAGGAATATTTCCACTTTTATTTTTATATTTTGGGTACTTTTGTCTACACCCATTTATACACCTTAATTTTTACTGAGTACACTTTTTACCTCAAAAGTGACCCCAATTCACTTAATTAGGTCCTATACTTAATTTTACTCACTATTATATGCTTAATTATTCAATCACATTTAATTTACTAATTAATTAGGTTAGGGCTATTATAAGGAGCAATCTAAATCACATCATCTGTAGTTGGGTTCCCCTGGAGGAAGGATGAATGAAACTTAATGTTGATGGAGCATACTCATAAATAAGGCACAGAGCTAGTTGCTGAGGTTTGATACGTAATAATGTTGGGGAATGGAAATGAGGCTTTGCATATAATATTGGAGATTGTTCCCTGTAAGATGTTGAAATTTAGGTTGTTCTGAAGGGATTGGACTTCTATTGGTCTAATCGGTTTTCTTATGTAATAGTAGAAGGAGACAACTTGTCTGTCATCAACCAACTACAACAGATACAACCCAATGTCTCAGAGTAACATTTGCTGAATAGAATTAGGCAGTGGATTGGAAAAGATTGGCAGATCCGTTTTATTCACACAAAGAGGGAGGCCAATAAGTATGCTGATTGGCTAGCCCAGCTTGCACTCTCATGGGAAGAAGGTTTCCAAGCCTTTAACTCAGCCCCATCGGGTCTGAGTCTACTTATTGTTGTTGACAGTAGCAGTTTAGTTATCTAGTTTTTCTCTTTTCTATTTTGTTTTCTTGTAATTTTGGTTTCCTATTTTTCTTTCTCTGTCGGGGTCCTTAACCCTATTTTTATACCAAAAAATAAAAATAAAAAAAGTGTTTCTTCTATTATAAGAAATAGAATTATCTCTTTTTGATTAAAAGTAAAAGATATTTTGAAAATTTAACATTTCTCTATGTATCAAGAATTTTACTAAAATACACTTTATTTTTAATATGTAACCCATAACGATATCGTTTTGAGATTGCAAGAAATAACTTTATCTTCAAGAAACGTTAATCCCATATATGGTTTATCGTTTCTCAAGTCACTTGAGATAACTTTATCTCATGTCACTAAATCATAATCATACAAAGAGAGATCAATGATGATAAAGAAAGAGAGAAAAAAAAAAGAATCATAATCATTCAAAGGTGAATCAATTAATATAAAGAAATACATACAAAAAAAACGTAATTATGAGATAACTAGAAATAAATATATCTCAAGTGACATGAAAAATATTTTTTTATATATATATCTATATATATAGGGGAGGGATCTTTTGACTCTAGAGTAAGACTTACAACTCTTACTCTCCATCTTAGCCGTTGATTTTTGTCCATCTAACGGTTATTATTTATTTGAAATAAATAGATAATTAATTGTTATAGATAACCGTTAGATGGACGGAGATCAACGGTTGAGATGAGGAGTAAGAGTTGTAAGTCTTACTCTGGACTCAAAAGATTCCTCCCCATATATATATATGTATATATATATATACATATATATATGTATATACATATATATATGTATATACATACATATATATATAACAGTGCAATCATCACACCCAGATCAATCTCTCAAGAAACCTGGTCTGTTATGTTCATATTAATTGCTAGCTGTATCGTGTCACTAAATCATAATCATACAAAGAGAGATCAATGATGATAAAGAAAGAGAGAGAAAAAAGAAATCATAATCATTCAAATATAAAAAAATACATACAAAAAAGACGTAATTTTGAGATAACTAGAAATAAATATATCTCAAGTGACATGAAAAATATTTTTTTGATATATATATATATATGGATCTTTATTTTATCATGTTACATGAAGTCATCCAACACTAAAAGACAAAAAAAAAAATAATAAAAAAATATGATAAGACACTTTGTTCAATAATTTTGTTTTATCTTATTTTAATATAACTAAATTATTTTTCCTACAAAATAACTTTTATTTATCCCTATATATAACAGTGCAATCATCACACCCAGATCAATATCTCAAGAAACCTGGTCTGTTCTGTTCATATTAATTGCTAGCTGGATCGTATCTCATATATCATTGAACAATTAATATCAATTAATAGTGCATATTATTAAAAATCCAAAGAGATATTAACCCCCCCTCCTCTCATAAAATTAAAATGGACATATACTTTAAAAGAAAATTAAAAAAAATCTCCTATTTAATTAGTCTTCCATATATTATCCAGTATGAAATCATAAGTGTTAAAACAATTCAAAGTACTTTCCTATAGAGTTAACCAACTCAAAACCTTCTCACAGCTATAACGTAGTTTTCTTCTTATTCAGAAATTATATTAATAGACAAGATTAGTCTATCCCTCATATAACCTGTGAATGGTCAAAATCAAAATAACTTTAAACGGACCAAACCTTTATTCATTTTTGTTTTTACAGTCCACCATCGTATTATTTATTTATTTTAGATGACTAATTTTATGTTTATAAATTATAAAATTTATGTCAAAAAATCATATACTAAATAATAGAAGTCATAAAATTATAAAAGTTATAAGAGAAATTTTTTTCTAAAGTACCTTTAGATAAATTTATCTAATATTCACCGAAACGACGTAATTTTGGAGTTGAAAGATTAAAAAATTAGAATAATAAATACTATTATAACTCTAAAATAAATTAAAATTATAAATATACATGATTTTAATCCCAAAATAATGTTATTTTGATAAAAATTAGATAAATTTATCTCAAATAATTTTAGAAAAAACGAAGAATATTATAAACTAAATAACAAAAGTTTTTACTTACTTTTATATTCAGTTTATATTTTTAATTTAATTTGTAACTTTTAATTATTTTATTAAAAAAAGCAAAAAAAAGCAAACAAAAGTAGAGCACGTGGATACACGTGATAGGAGAGCGCGTGATGGTGAATAAAATTATTCTTTCCTCGTCTACTACTCCTTCCTTCCTTCCCTCAATGTTATTACATCTCACTACCTTTCTCTCTCTAACCCTCAATGTTATTACATCTCACTACCTTTCTCTCTCTAAAACTCTTTCACTCCCTCTCTCTCTTCTGCAACGATTTAAGGTTCGTTTTCCGATTCCCAATTTGGCTGTTGTTGTTCGTTTTCTTCTCTCTACGTGCTTCATTTTCACCCTTCAAAGCTTTTGAACTTCTTCTTCTTCTTCTTGCTGCTGCTGAAAACTGTGCTGGTTTTGGCACTGAAGTTTGGGACCATTTGGTACTCCTTTTTTGTGTGTTTGTTTTCCTCTTTTTTGTTGCATTATTTGTTTTTATCATTATTATTATTGTGTCAATGCGTGTGCTTCCCCAATTGGAGTTCCGCAGAGCCGCGATTAGGGTTCTTGGTGTTGTTACTGTCACTCATTGTCAATTCAAATCGGTTTGGAATGAGTCCCTTGCTGTTTGGTTTTGCGATTGTTAACGAATTCAGGATCTTTTTCTTTTCTTTTCTTTTTTCTGTTCTTGATTTGCCGAAGTCGGGATTTGTTTTTGGTTTTTGTTTTGTTGGTTATTGTGGGAGGAATGTATATTTGGCGATGAATAGTGGGGAATTTGGAGAAATTTTGAGCCTTTAAGTGATTCTGTTGCAAAGTGTGGACTTTCCGGATGTGTGTCTGCAACAATGTCAGTGAATTGAGCAGAAAGACATTTTTTTTTTTTTTTTTTTTGGGTCTGTTGATTGTGTTGTATGTGGGGGATTAGGCTGTTTGATTGTTGTTGGTTGAGTATGTCGTTAACGCAATCTGATTTTTGTTGAGAATGATTTTTTTTTTCTTGTTTTTGTTTCATCTCGTTGAAGAATTTAAATTTCTTGAGCATAATCGGCAAACAAGAAGAGCTGAATTTTGTTGGATGGGTAATAAACTCGGGAGGAGGAGACAGGTGGTAGATGAAAAATATACAAAGCCACAAGGGTTGTATACTCAAAAAGATGTGGACCATAAGAAGCTAAGGAAGCTAATACTTGAATCAAAGCTTGCACCTTGCTATCCTGGAGATGAAGAAACTGCTTACGATCTCGAAGAATGCCCAATTTGCTTTCTGGTCTGGTTTCTATCATATACCTTCAATATTTGTTTCTTTCCAGTTATTGTGTTACTATATATTTTTTAAAAATGAACAAATAAGTCCATTCATCTGAGCACACTTATTTCAAGCTGTAAATTTGACCTGCTGGTCACCTTTGTTAGGTTTAATTTATTAACCTTTATTTGAAACAAACGGATGGAGGATGTAACTACGTTTTCTTTTTCATAAACTTTCTGATCTGAATACATAGAACACAAAGTATATGGACTGTTTTTATTTGTTGTTCGCTTGAAGTCTGTTCCAAATTGTGAACTTTGCGTATGGCTTTTCTAATCATCCCATTCCATTGTGTTTTTTGTTTTTTTCCCTTAATTTAGTATTATCCAAGTCTAAACCGATCAAGATGTTGCACGAAGAGCATTTGTACAGGTAATTATGTGGTCATCTTCACTGGTTATATATATTCTGTCATTGGCATTTGTATGCAACCTGATTAATTTCTTTTATCAGAGTGCTTTTTGCAGATGAGAGTTCCAAATTCAACTCGGCCTACACAGTATCCTGCATTTCTAGTAGTTTGCCTTCAATATGTAGACATAACTCATAATTAGCTGTCCGACAACTTCCATATTTTGTTGCTTTAATATTAGAATAATTGCTTGCCTTAACAACATGAGATGTCCCTTCTGCAAAACGGCAAATTATGCTGTGGAGTATCGTGGTGTGAAATCAAAAGAAGAGAAGGGATTGGAGCAGATTGTATGTTGTTATCTGCCATGGTTATTGTCTTAAGAAATGCATTTTCTGAAATTTTTCATTAATTTTCACTTGCATACTCATAATTATTCAGGAGGAGCAACGTGTTATAGAAGCAAGAATTAGGATGCGGCAGCAGGAACTTCAGGATGAAGAGGAAAGAATGCATAAAAGACTAGAAATAAGCTCTGAAAATGTGAATGTGGCAGTTGCAGATGTTGAATACAGCTCAAATGCAGGTAGTCTTGCATCACAGTTCTGGATTACGTCTGTACATGTCTAATTGACTGATCATAGTTGTATAAATGATTCTTTTTCTGAAAAAAAAAAAAAATTGTAGTGACTGCATCATCTTCAACTTCTGTTGTTGAACTTGATGAAATTGTTTCTTCTCAAGACTTGTGTGCCACACCAATGGTTAGACCACCTCCAGCTGCTAGGACCAATAGGTATGCTATCCTTTGCGCGGCCAAATTCCCAAAATTTTCTTATTATGTCTCTTTCTCGTAGTGATTCTGTTTCCAATGCTTTCTCACTAATGGCATTAAATATTGAAAAACCAACTAGGGTAAGAAAATGAGTTGAAATGTCTGATTGCTGAAAAGTTGTGTGAGGATTTAACATTGCTTCCTTTGTGTGTTACATTTCCCATGAATATTTCACCTGTTAGATTATACTATGTCCATCTTATCAAGTATTGAGTCCATTGTAAAATGAGAAAGTATCCTCCTTGATCTAGTCTGAATACTCAGTTGAGTCAATCTTTTGGGCCTATCGTTGCATGTTTCATCCAATGAGGTTATGAGGAGCATAACTATTCTATATCTCGACTCACTATGTCATAGCATGACTGGATTTAATTATGCGAAGGGCATTAGTCCATACGTAAGCTGAATCCAAATATAAATTAATGGAACTCTTGGTGTTGCTTGGGTCTATAAGTTAGTGTTATAAGTACCAATATTGTCTATAATTTGCAATAAAATTAAGTACATCTCCTAGAAAGATGCCAGATTCATATAATTCTGAGCCTTTTGAGCTCAGCTGAGCTACATTTATAGATAGTCTCTTTATTAAACTTGTTCAAGGGAGTATGGTGTCAGGTTGCAATTTGTTTGGGCTCAGGTGGGGTGCATATGTAACTAGACTCATTGTTGAAGTTTGTTGGTTTAGAGAACGGTGTTAGCTTGCAAGCTGTTTGAGCTTATGCATTGACTGTTTTGAAATGTGGTAGGTTGGTAGTCATATAATTGTCTGATTTTATTTCTGATTTGAATCATAGAAATCTAAAATGATGCAAGAGACATCTACTTGTTTTTATCATTTGGTCAAATTGGTTAGACATTTTTTTTTCTAATTTTTCAATTTTATATTTAAAACTGCCTTAGATGCTTCAATTAACATCAAGTAATTGATCAATATAAGATTCATTGCTGCAAATATCACATTGTTTTCATTTAAATCCCTAAAATATCATTTTTGCACATGACCTGAGTATGTAGATTGAATGGTCCTCCCAAGTTATATTGTGGCAATTGTCAAGGGATGGTCTTATTGAATAAGAAAGGAAGTAGGTCTTTCATTCTTGAATCATGACTGAATGGGAAATATTCAAAAAATTTCTTTCACTGTTATTTTCTGACATTTCTAGTTCAACATTAGAAAATCTGACAGTTATGCAGAAAAATCAATTAAATTCAGCAGCTTCAAACTAGTTTTACTCCAACTAGAATTTATTTCATTGCTTGTTAATGGAAGTTTAATTTCATAATTTCTTACCTACTGAAGTCAGTGAAGAGGGAAATTGGTGTAATAAGTTAGCTATTATTTGATTCCTTGGTTTTGACTCAGTAGCTCATCTTGAGTGGATGCTAGTCTTGAAGTTTTGACCGTATTGATGGACATGGTTAGACGTGCAAGAAAGGATGAGTTGCACAGATGGACAAATGTTACCAGTGACTAGCTTTTTAAAAGGAGGATTCAAGATACAGACCAATATGTAGCAAATCCTAATTTGTACTTAATCAACTTGCAGTGATACTTTAATTTGTGAATACACTTGTGAGTTTAGAGAATTCACCTTGTTTATTTATGTAAGAGATTAGAAAGGCTCCCCCAACACATTTCTCTATCCTGCTACAAAGTAGAAAACAAAGTCAGGGGTAAGATAGATAAAGCCCTCTTATATTTTGTTATTAAAAGGGAAAATAAATTCTGTCCTTGTCAATGTCTTGGATTTATTGCTGCTCATATGTGCATAGTTTGAAGTGGAAAAGTAAAACGAGAGGACTTCTAAAGAAGTAAGAGTATTTGATGGATTTGTACTATGTTTTAATTATGCTATCACTATCAGTAATTTAAACTGACTACTATGCTACACTGTGCATGTCGTGTGGTCTGATTTGATAAGGAGATGCTTTAATTTTTTTAAAATTTAGGACAAAGTATACAAGTATATATTAAGGAGATGTTTAAGTATATAAAACATATATTGGTATACATATAAAAAATAAAAATATTACATGATGTATGTTTGTTTTTTTGTGTGTGTGTGTGGAAGATGTATGTTCTATTTAAATGGTACACAATATTAATAATTTTAAATGGTGTAATGTTTTGCAATGAAATTTTATTGATTTAATCATACTTTGGGTTTAGGTCCCTTAGAAGCCTTGGGGTACCAACTACCTATTTTCAATTACAACTCTGTCAAATATCTCTCACCTTTCGCTCACTGTTTTACCCGTTCCTCTCCCTTACTGTTTCTGTTCATTGAGATTTGAGAACCTTATTTGCATTTGTACCACGAACTGTAGTTACATGTCCTGCCTAAACCATTGAATGGTCAATCCTATGCTTTCATCCAATTGCCATTGTCATCTGGCTAAAGTCCACCTTCATATGCTGAGGCAATTTTTGCCTCCACTTGCGATATGGAATCTCTTTGCATCCAAAGGCCTCTGTGTGTTTTAGTTGAAACACAATCCTCGTTCGATAGGCTGAAAGAAATTGCTAGATGCTTTGTGACAGTGGCAGTGGTACCATAATTCACTGGCAAATGGCAATGTCTGGCCAATTCAAGGAATTTAAGGCTTGGGCACAATTTAAAATTTTCTAGGGCTTAGATGGGTATGCAATTTCATGTTTCCAGCAGAAAAAAAAAGGAAAACAGACAGGATAGATTGCTCTTTGGGGTGAATTTCAATAAAAAAGACTAAGCATTGTATTTGTGCAAGTTGGGCATAAAAAATTGAAAGTACAAAATGAGAGCGAAAGAGAGAGAGAGCTTCCATATCAAAGAGGTAAGGTGGTTCTTTTCGTTTTCTTTTCTTTTTCTTTTTTCCTTTTTTCTTCTGTATATGTGCATCTTTGCTTATGGTAGATTATAAGTAGAATTGATGAGTGAAGATGTACAATTTGCTTTTGTTTAGTAGTATTGGACCTATTGTTATCTTGCATAAGCTATGTCATGAACACCTGTTGATATGTGTGGACAAGCAAGGAAGCTAGGATACATTGAAATCGTTGCCATATTGGTATTGGATACCCCTCGCCTGCATGGCTGCATCCTGTACTTTTTATTTTGATCTTGTGTGTCAATGCCGATGGGATATCATAAGAATTGTATAACTGATAGTCTTCTGTTGTGTCTACAATAACTGATAGTCTTCTGTTGTATTTTGGAAACCATACATTTTTACTTACCATATATTTTTTCCCCCAAATGCTGAGAAATGCAGAGATGATGAATTTGATGTTGATCTTGAGGACATTATGGTCATGGAAGCAATCTGGCTTTCCATTCAGGTGAAGATTTTTGTTTGAATATGCTTACCTTTATGCTATCCATGGTTGAATTTATTATCATACTTGAAGACCACTCCCCTGCCATTTAGTGTGGTTCACAACTTGTTTTAAAATCTTCTCACCACATACCATAAATTTATTTGTTTGGTGCCTAATTGTTGATCAATTTTGAAATTGTTCATTTTTTAGATTATTTTGTTCAAGTTCTGTTAGACAATGATGAAAATAAAGAAGTAAATTCTTCCAAATCTGTGCAATATTTTACTATGTCTTTTACCTTAATTCTTTATTTTCTGCTATTGAAAAGTAATTTTGGATGAAAGAAATGCATGAATACTCAGGATTGAGCTTAGTCCACAGTTTTTTAGTATAAATGTAAATTGTAACTACTAAAAAACAGCAGACAAAATTCCTTTTCATTTAAATTTCTTTATTAATTTGTGTTTTTGTAGTTATCATCATTCTTTCTTTATTAATAAATGTGGAACTAAAAACTTTTCAACATATATGTCCATGCTCTGTGGGGCACTTATATTTTGGCTTCTGTTGTATTGCTGTGTCCGTGTGACGTCATTCCTCATTGATGTATGTGTCAATACCCCATAGCTTTTAACAGACCCTTCATTAAAAACACAGAACAACCTTTTCGTGCATTTATATCGTTTTGATCCTCTTAATTAGTTGGTGGTCTTTAATGTAAATTTCATCATTATAAGCAATGATGATTGTTACACACACACACCCAACACTTCTAGTTTCTATATATACATAGCTCAAAAAGGTGACTCATGCTTAATCTATCAGGGAAAAATAAAAGTTTTTTATTTTTATTTTGGTAAACAGGGAAAAATAAAAGTTACTCATGCTTAAGTGAAAATAATAAGCCTTATTTATATTAAATAGAGACTCCTAAAATTAGGAAACAAATCATGAAATATGGAAATTATTCCTAGAAGATCGTCTAGATACTCTGAATTATTTTAAGATATAATCAATATATTATTCAATATTTTCTAGATATTCTAACATGATTGATAGTTCATATTCATCAAGTTTGACTACATGTTAGCATTTTGTCAGCTTGCTATAGCACCCCATAGTCCAAACCAGAGGCTCGTCTTTTATTTTAATATGAATCTGGGTAACTTTTAGATTTCTTGAAAAACATCCATACTGTGCAACCCAGTTCTTTCCTTTTTCTCAAAGTTATATTAATATAGATTTGGGTTCATGGTGAATCCTATACGGGGCACCATATCCACCATTCAAAAGAAAAGAAAAGAAAAATAAAAATATATGCATATTATGAAATTCAATGGTGGTTTACTCTATGACTTGTGTTGTCCTGTTTATTTGATGACTATGATTGACTCAAAATACACAAATTAAAATTATAGGAGAATGGCAGGCAGAGAAGTTTATCTTGTGCTGATGCCGCTTCTGGACACTATGTAGCCGATGGTCGCTATGTTTCATCTGTCAAGGGTCCACAGGTTGAATCATCCTCGTCCCCATCTGGGGGTCTTGCTTGTGCCATTGCAGCTCTTGCTGAGCGTCAACAAATGGCTGGAGAATCATCTATGAGCTCCACCAATGAAAATTTGTCGTCATTCAACACGTTACAGGGTTCCAGAAGGTTTTATAACAGGCTTGGTAGAGATATGGTTAGTTATCCACCTACAGACAACCTCAATGAGGTGCCACCAGATGATGCTGTGGCGATGACCAGGAGTCATGGTGAATGGGACATAGACCATGGGCCACAGGTGGATGAAACAGAAACTAGCTATGCAAACCCTGTTGCAGCAGAAGATGGTGGTGTTCTATCTTCTTTGCCCCAGTCTGATGACATTGATGGCAACCTCCAAAGTGCCACCGACCCTATTGTTCCTGAGAGCTTTGAGGAACAGATGATGCTAGCTATGGCTGTCTCTTTAGCTGAAGCTCAAGCCATGTCAAGTGGACAGAGTGCTTCTTGGCAGTAGTTTTTGTTTTGAGTACTGGTTTAATCTTTCTTAAAGTGATGATGCTTGCCTTGGCTATTTGGCAAGCCGAGTCCTGGGTTGGGAGTTTGAGCGGTGTTCTCTTCTCACACGAATTTATATATACAGATGTCAAAGGAAAACTAATGATTCTAGTTGGTGAAAGGTTGCTGCTTAATACCCCCTTTTTTTTCACTTTTGTGCGTGATGTCCTCTCCCTTCCCTCTCATTGGTTTTCTGTAAATAGTTTTTTGGAAGTTTTATTAGTCTTCGATAGATGTCTTTTCATTCTTACACCAATATAAGGTACATTTTAGACATGTACTGAACAGGAAAGGAAATTAAATGTGTATGTCAGTAAAATTTATCTCTGTTCTATTCATTTAGATATGAGTATATTGAAGTTATGCCTGTAGGGCATGGGACTTAAAATATCTGGGAAATTTTGCATAAATTGTCTGAATTAATGAACTCATAGAGTAACAATGTTTGTGGTTGTTACAAATGCATTCTTATTTCGCTCATAGGTGATATGTAAAGGCAGCTTAAATTCTCATTAAATTGTTTTAAATCACTAGTCTAATATGGTAAGCTCCATAGCGCTCTCGCGTGAAATTTTGTCCATGAGGAGAATTAGACTTTTCACATCATCCATCTTTTTATCCTTTTTTTTCTTCCTTTCTTAGTCTCTCTTCCATTTTTCTCCATCTATGGTTATTTTCACTTTCTTTGAAGTCTGTCTTGACCTTGTCCTGTACATGTATCTTCCCCATCTTGTTATTATCTGGGGGTGACTTTGGTAAAATTTGATAGTCAACCGTACTTGTTATGTAATTGGCATTGCCACTTAGTAGGCATCTATACCTAAGGGATAACATCTGTGCCATTCTTCACTGGTTAAGGTTATTGTTTGTTGTGAAAGGATACTTCTTTGTGCCCTTTTGCCCTGTATGAGTTGAAGGAAATTTGATTGGGACAAACTATGCTCAATGAATGCATAATTTCCAGTTATTATGAACTAATAGTTGCTAAGCAATGCTTCACTGGAAGACAACCCAATATATCTACTTAGCCTCTTGCTGTTGCAACAAAGTTGCTCTGTAAGAAAGTGGCTTAGAGTAATTGAAATGATTGATCACCTAAGAAATCTACTTTTTTCCTTTTCATTGTTTAATTATTTGAAGCACTTAAAAGAGTGGTTTTCTAATGTTCATATAATTACCGGGCTTAAAACCTCATAATTGAAGGTAGCTTTTCTTGACCAGAAAACATCATAATGAATTGTTTGGTTGATCAATGATTAGTAATGATAATCACCAAAAAAAAAAAAAAAAATTGAAAATTCATTTCAAATAGTGGTAGGTTTATATTAACTATTAATTGTTGCCTTGGGAGTGAGGGAATCTAAGTATGATGTAATGGCACTGATAACACAATTTTGGTTTATGTTTTTTTTTTTTTTTTTTTTTTGGAAAACTGGTTTATGTTTAACTTTGGCTTGTGAATTAATCTGTAACATTTACGCATTGAGGTCATACATTTAGACAGTGGAAAAGAGTATTAATAAGGGTTGGTTTAACTAATAAAATCGAAATATATCGATTTATTATTGTTCAATTCTCATTTGTGATTGTTTTTTTAAGGCTATTATGTAAGTAGTAATGTAAGGTTTACTGAAGAGACTTGTGGTTTACTTGACTTTGAAATGGAAACTCCCAACCCTAACAAAAGAGCGAGAGGCCAATATGAGATTGGAAGAGTATATTCCTACTAGTCTTTCATATTAAATCTTTTCGTTAATATGCATAAGAATGAAGATAAATGAAAGTCAGTCCGTTTGGTGTACATGATAAGAGAAGTAGGATAAGATATTATATCACATTGTATACAAAAAAAAGAAAGATATTATATCACATCTTGTTCTTATTCGTTGTTTAATGAGGCAATAGAATAGGGTGAAGTTATCCTATTGACTCATATTATTCTACTCTCAATAACATAACTAAATCGACCTAGGTTAGAGTCAAATAGGATAATGTAAAGAATTATTTCAATCTAAAAGCTTAAATTGATGAATGAGGCTACATTAATGAATTTTATATATATCTAACAAATAGGATAAGAAAAAAACCCTTGTCTCTTGGAAAATTCTTTGAGCACACTCACTCATCCCTATCACAGGTCAACCTCTGTCATCAACCCACCGACTAATCATTGTCACTGACTACTATCACTGTCGGCGAACCCTTAATACTAGAGTATGTGAATGGCACGAGATAAAATAATAACTAATTTATAAATAAGTTAAAATAAAAAAATAATTTAGAAATCAACTTTAAAAAATGTATATAATTTTTTGTTATAAAAAATATTTTTATCTATTTATAATGCGCATCTAACACTACATATGATATAAGTTTATCCCACGTATCCTATTTTCCCTTATCCTATCCTATTCATTATAAGCCAAACTATACTATTATGCTAAGAAGAAATATGAACATGGGAAATATTGTATCTTGGAATTCTTGCTTTTCGGTGGCATTTTGAATCAAGAATGGCTACCATTTCTATCAGATATGAATCATGGTGAATTTAATAAATAGAGAAAGAGCTGAATTCAGCATCGGCGTATGGCCACCAACTTAAAATGAGATTTTTTTTTACGCATGACATGTTTTTAAAATCAGATTGCTCATTGGATTGTAACTTATTTTTTATCCAATTGTGGTTGAAGTAGTAATAATTAGATTTATACTTATATAATATTATATAATTAATTAATTAATAAATTAACATGAAATTTTGTTAAATCAATAGATAAAATTTAAAATTAACATAAAAAAATCACATTACATATTTTGTAAAGCTTTGTAACTTGGTAGTCTTTTTTTGGCTCATAAAAATATTTTTACTTGAATTAAAGAAAAAAACATAGTCCAAACCAATTTTCACCGGTTTTGGACCGGTTCTTTGATTGACCAGCTTTAGGGGTTGTCTAGACCAACACCTGACCGGTTCATTGGTTTTTCTGTCGAACCATCCGGTTTGGTTCAATTTTTAATCGATGCTTTTATGATACAAACTTTTAATCCAAATATAAATTTTAAAGATCACCCGTTTTTTGAAAATTCTTTGTGATGTAAGATTAAAAAAAATATTTATATTACTATAATGACAGGTCTTAACCATATATTTTGTATAAAAAAAAGCCTATCATAAGAATATTTTTATTTGACAGCAGCTTAATTTATAATATTAAAAAAACTTACTTCTTTCACACACAAAAAAAAAAAACATGTTTCTTGTATTGATATATATAATCTCAGAATTTATGAAAATTTACTAATTACTACAAATAAAATTTAATTATACTAGATACTTCACTAGTTTTTGTAGTGCATTACTTTGACAGCTCAATGATCTTAGATTCTTAAGCATATACGCCGATAATAAATTCCCCAATATATACATAAATACATTATGGGAAGAGAAATCTGGGATTATTAGATTAATTTGGTTTAGCTTAAAGTCTTCAGCAGCCATTTTCTTTCTATTGAAAAAAAAATACATCCATTGATTCAAGTGGACTCGATATTTTGAAAGATCTGAAATTATAATTAACTTGAACTATAGATAAAAAAAGGTCTTTCATCATAGTAACATTATGTATTATGATTTTGCTTACTACCTTAATATTTTTACCATAAAGCTATGCTTTGGACTATTCTTTCAGTGTTGCTTCATTTCAAAACTAGACCAAATTTTCGAAGATCACATATAAATACTAAGATCGATCTAATACTATGATGGGCACTATAACCTAAAAAATAAAAACCAAATAAATAAAGAAATACTATCTATGATCAAATGATGGTCACCGATTTGATTAATTAACGGGGTCATGGCCAATGGATCAACTAATAATGAGGCTGGGCCAAAGAAGTGGTTGGTAGGATATCATAAGCATTTAAACTTCACATGCAGTGTCTCAAATTCTCAAAATATAAGAAATTTCTTACACTCCCTTTCCCGTTCACATGCATGATCTTTAACTAATGGTATGTTTCATGCAAATAAAAAAGAATGGAATGAAAGTAAGCCCATCCTACACTATTTTTTTTTTTTTATTATTGAAGACCTTGTTCATTGGAGAACCAAAAAATAAAAATAAAAAAATAACTTTAACTACTCCCATGAATGTTTGGTTACTTTCTTTGTCCGAAAATGTGCTCTCGAGATACTAGTTTCTTCATAGCATGTTTCTATGAAAAGGGCACAATCTGCTGTACACATCATTTCATTATCTATTTGTCCTATATATCATGCAAGATTCACAAGATTTTAGCAAAACGTTACTTTATGTTGTCTTTTTTTAATTTCTGTCTAAATTTGTGTTCAAGAACAAATACTAAAATTTATCATTTTCTTTTTAATAATATAATTTTCTTGAAATATTTATCATGAAGCCTTGATGGAGGACTAGGGGCTCATTGGATTGATTTTCTTTTTCAAGAAGTTATTTTTTTTTTTTTTAAAAGAAGAAGAAGAAGAAGTGGTGTGTTTGGATACCAATTTTTAAAAATAAAGTAAAAACAAAACAAAAATTAAAATATTACTTTTTCTAAGCAAATATTTCTGATTTCTAAAAAATGTCAAAATTATTATTTTTATTTAAAATTACACCAAGGTATGAACATAATATAATTTATCTAAATTTCTTACCACTATATAGCATTTATAATACCAAATGATAGTAGTTTAATTGCTGCATAAGAATTGAGCATGTGAGGTGAGAGTATGTATTCAATTCTCTCTAGTATTATTTTTGAGAGGAGATTAAAAACTTGATCTAAACCCACTCTAAACTCTAAATTAATCCATATGAAATTTATGGGATTATTAGGAATAATCTCAATAAATATATATATATATATAATATATATGCAAAAAGAAGCAGTATTTAATTTGTAAACTTTATGAATAGTCTCTAATATACCACTAACCTACACTGTTCTTAGATGATTCTGATGTCAGGCACGTGGACAATTTGGTTAAGAGATTTTTGTCCACTCATAGAAGATCAAACACTTCTTTACCCAAACGGAAAAGCAAAATCCATTCTTTGTATGCAAACATTTCATTGTTTTCTACTCCAAACATTAAATTATGGAAAAAGTGTGTATAATTTTAAAGGATGTAAAGTTGTGTCATTTTAAGAGAGAGAAAGAGATAGATTAAGGAGGAGAGAGAGTTGACAAAAAAAAATAAAGGTGTGGGTCCCACCTCTTTGTGAGAGTGAAAGGATGTAAGTTGTGTAATTTTAAATGATAGACACTTTTCCCTTAAATTATTACAACCCCAGTTTTCAAAAAAAGAGCTCAAAGCACGCACCGTTATAATAAAACAAGAGAAAAATGTTAAAAAATAAAAAAAACATAGAAAGGTTTTGAATTGTGGAGAGAAACTGACAAAAAGACAAGAGCTAATAGTGATAAGATACACAAAGTTGGATTTCCAAGAGTGCAAGACTTACATTACACATTAATTATTGGGAATCTTTTTTCCCACAAAATGACCCTTTTGTTTGTACTCTTCCTCTCTAATAGAGTTTGAAAGTTGAAACTCATAAATAAGCACTAGCTACTGTCACACTTCATAACAGCTTTAATTCAAACTTTCAAACCCCATTTCTCTCTTCTCTCTTCCCTCTTCCTTTACCTTTCTAGTTTCTTGCACTTCCTCATTTTCTGCTTCTGGGTATGTTTTATTTATTTATTTTTTTGGTTTTAAATATATAATCACTTAAACCCTTCTTCAACTGTGTCTTTAGTCTTTATTGAGATGTTTCTCTCTTCCCATTTGCAGTGGAAGTTCTCTTCATTATCATGAGTTTCTTTCAGATCCTTCAACACTCTTAGCTGATTAACACCATTGCTCTTCTTATGCAAAATATCACCAAGGTTAGTGCTTCACACTTAAGACTCTGCTAGTAATAGTCCTTCACACTTATATATATATATATATATATATATATATATATATATATATATATATATATATATATATGATTTTCAAATCTCCAGAATAAGATTTTTTTTTCTCCGTTATCATTCTTCTTCTCCCTGTGCAAATACAAACACTTTTCACCACAGCAACTTCACACGTGTGGTGTGCTGATTTTTATTTTTATTTTTATTTTTTTTGTGTGCCGGAAAATGAACACTCATTTTATCCCCGAAGTTCCTAATTTTCCATTGCTTTTTCATCAACTTTTGTGTTTTTATTTTTTATTTTTTTTTTCTTGTCTACCAAACACGTAAATGAACACACATTCTGAGAATCATCTCTATGCCATCAAGATCCTATCCCCATAAATTGTTGCTCTGCAGTTACCATTGACCGTTATCTTTAAGTGCCTTTTGTTTATAGTTTTTTTTTAGTGGTCAAATATATATATATATATATATGTTTTAAGGAAAGTTATTATGATACCTAATAAATGTTACTATAAAGTCTTTAATTATTTATTACTTTGAAGTTTTTATTATACTTACGAAACTCTGAAACTGATGTAATAATTTAACAATCATTAATATTTTTGATAAAAAATGAATATAAATTACTTTTTTCAAATCTTTATTTTTCTTTAGCCAGAGTAAAATATTTCCTTACTTCACATGCGATTTTTTTTTCAATATATAACCATTTTTATATTTTTATTTCGTTTTGGTGTATTTGTGTAGCGTTTACTGTTTTGAAAGTTTGGTTAAATTTTCAATTAAAATATGTTGTAGGAGCTTACCAAAAAAATAAATAAATATTGTAGGAGATAATTTTATTTTCTATGCATTAATAAAAGTGTACGAGATTCATATTTAGTATATTATGAGCTAAATGTATTTCACTAGTACGGTAGCGCGTAATTAGTAAATGTCTTCAATGACATGCATGCGCAACTGCAGAATCTTTAGTTCCACTGCTTTGTCTTTATGTTCAATAGCATGGTTTTCTTTTCTCTCTAAATCCATCAACCAAACATAGCATTAGGGAATATAGTGTTGAAGGGGTTTGAGAAATAAACATAAGGGAAATGTGTAAAGTATTTAACAAAAAGTTACTTTATGTTCTCTTTTGTAATTTTGTGTAAAAGAACAAATGTTAAAATTTATAATTTTCTCATACCTTGTATTTGTGTAAAAGGTAGTTGTATGTTAAAATTTATAGTCTAACTTTTGTCAAAAGCAATTCACAGTTTTAATGCATAGGTTCTAAAAAAGTTGTAGCTGGTCACATATTTTAAGGCCAAAGGTAAATAAACTTTCACTTGTGATATAAATTCTATACCATATTACAAGGATTTGAATCTCTGTCTTCATATGTATCTGTAGCCACTATGTCTATGGGCTAGTGGGTACCTTTCCCTTTTATAATGTGGGGTCTTGATGGGATCGGTTTCCTAAAAGGAAGATACAAATTAAGATAGAAAAGATATTCTACCATTTCATTTTCATTTTTACTTCTAAGTGTCATTTGAAGCAAATAAAAATAGAAGGAAAAAATGACACAAGATTTTGATACCGATTTCCTACAATAATTGTTTTACCTACTCCAATCCACTTGCCCTTTAATCAAAATTTTTATCAATTAGTTACATGGATTGAGTAACTTCTCGAACTAGTGATTTTTCCAAATAAGACTGTTGTTAGAGAAATATAAAATCATTAATGTAACCTCATTCAAAAGCTTAAAACAGCTTAAATTTTTGAGTTAAATTGATTCTTTACATAGTATCAGAGCTTCGGTGTCACGGGCTCAATCCTCATCGCCCCTCGTTTAATTAATAATTAATTAAATCTTGTGGAGTTTATTAGTACAGGTAGATGAATCTGTGCATTATCCACCTTTTTGTGTGAGGTAGCGTGTTAGAGAAATATAAAACCATTAATATAATCTCATATAACATTTTAAACTTTTGGGTTGAATTGGTTATTTATAATTGTTTTGAGTTATAATTATTCTTGTTTCTCACTTTCTCTGATGTTAGCTATTGGAACTAACATTTGGTGCTGCTATTAGGCTCATCATTGCTAAGCTCATGAACAATCTACTTTAGAGTACAACGCAGAAGCCAAGGTAAAAACATTGATATGGCTACTATTGGAGTTGGACCTATGTCTACTCCGTTATACAACTACTTGAATGTATGGTGGGCCTAGTGCAATTAATGGGAAAGTGGAAGAGTTACTTCTTTTCTAGTAGTATCAGGTTGATATTATCCATGGGTTCACATAATTTTTTTTTTTTTCCTTTTTTGGGTGATTTGATTAATTTGTATTAGAGTTTTAGACTCGTGGACCATTGTTTACTGTTGCATTTACTCCTTATAGGCCAGTCTGTGTAAAACATATAATGCTACAACATTTACTGCACTTGCTTTTAAACAATGCAAAAAGTACTGAATAAAGTAGACTCTCACTCTGCATGCTTTGATCTTGGGGTGGTATTAAAGGCATACTTTTATAGCATGTCATTGTTTTGGACACAGGACCAGTGTGATGTGGGGTTGCTTTATTCAACTTTTATTTTTTCCCTCATTCTTGATTTTTCCTAAAGGGTCATCTACCTTTCTAGTTTCTAATGGAAGATAATTTTTGATATCTTGGGTTTAAATCAATTGCCTTTTAGTTTAATAGTCACGGTTGTAGTGAGTTGGCTCCTTTATGATATTGTGGGTTCAAGGCCATAAATATACATAGCCATTGGTGTTTTTTCTTTGTGCTTATATCTCTTACCTAATTATGGTTTGGAGGAAGTTGAGGCTAGATAGGGGAATATAAAAGCTTAACTGCTATTACTTGAAAATGCTCCATTTGCTTAATAGTGTGCTTTAAAGAGGGTTAGTGAAATGTCAAAGAAAGTTTTCTCATTGTCCTACTCTATCCCTTTTATTATATGTGGTGCAATGTTTCTCTTGTGCCATTTATGATGTCTGAAAAAGCAGGTTCTGCCCATGAGCGTTATTGTTTTTAATGTATATTATGTACTACATCTTCATCGTTTCTAGTGTGTGCTAGCTTGGATGGAGTTAACTTGATCATTCATTTTATTTATTTGAACTTGCTTTTTTGTTTCTTTTAGCAGGTGAGACACTTTTAGCTAACAAATCCTTCTTAGTGCTGTTGTATCATTTGCCATTATCTAGCATATCAAATGCCAAGATCAAGGTATGATAACCCTACACATCAGCAGTATAATGTTCCAAATGCTTCAGAATAGTAGTTTCTATATATATATATATTCTCTGATTGCAAATAACTTTATTTTTTTAGCATTATTTTTGTTTTCCTTCTTCATTAACAAAGCAATGCATGTCTCACTTAGTGCTACTTATAAGCATCTCTGCTGCATTTCAAAATTGGCTGTGGAGTTGTGGTGCATTTCTCGAATGCATATATAGATTTTGGTTTTCCTCTGGTTCCAATTTTATGGACCTATCCACACGATATAGCTTTAGCTCTTCTGTAATGAATAAAACCTTTATGATGAATGGAATATATCATACATATCCATTTTTAGTTTCTGTATGTAGATTTTGATGAAGCTGTGTTTCATTTATATTCTGCGGATTTCAACTAATTTGGGATAAAAGTGATGCTGATGATGTATTTTATTTATCTTTGTTTTGGAATAGGGGATCTGATTTGCCTCAGAGGCAGTCTCCAAGAGGTCCACATCAACTTAGGACATCAAGTTCTGACTCAGATCCATTGCATCATCGACCAGTAGCTGACCGAAGTCCAAAGCTAGGAGACCGGCGTTCCCCGAGAGGTACTCAATCCGAGGCAGTGAATCAGAAGAAGCTAGGAACTCGAATTGCGGATTTGGAATCTCAGCTTGATCAAGCGCAAGAAGAATTGAAGATTTTAAAGGACCAGCTAGCTTCTGCTGAAGCTGCAAAGAAAGAAGCTCAAGATGAACTAGTGAAGAAAGCTGAGCAATCAGTAGTACCAGTGGTAGAGAAGTTCCAAGAGAAGTGCATTTCAAAGAATGCTAAAGAATATAACAAAACTGAAACCAAACCCCAAGATGTTATGCCAGATGAAAACCAACAAGAGACTGATGTGTTTGAAGTTCCAATTGAAAAGGTGGCAATTGAATTCAGCCAACCTGCAGATCAACTAGAAAAGGAAACTCAACCATTTGAAGACTCAACTCCACCAGCAATATCAGAGCCAGAGAAAGAGAAGAAGCCTTCTGTGGATGAACTGACATTAAAGAATGATGAGATAGCATTGTTGAAGTCCGGTTTGGAAGAGAAAGGGAAGGAGCTGGAGTCAATGAGTAATGAAAATGAGAATTTGAAGAACCAACTGAGTGAAGCAGTTTCAAAAGTATTGGCTGCTCAAACCAAGGAAGAAGGAATGAACTCGCAGTTGAACCAACTAGGAGAAGAGTTGAAAGCTAGTAAAGCGAATGCAGACAAGTTGAATGAGAAGTTGAAATCTGTGGAAGTAGAAAAGGAAGCATTGGAATCAGAGATGAAGAAGCTAAGGGTACAGACCGAGCAATGGAGAAAAGCAGCAGATGCTGCAGCTGCTGTGCTTGCTGGGGGCATGGATATGAATGCTAGGATTCCTGAAAGGTGTGGCTCCATGGATAAGCACTTTGGTGGCACATATGAGACACCTGCTGGTAGGTACAATGGATATGTTGGGTCTCCTGGTATGGCTGATGACTTAGATGATGGTTTTGGAGGTGGAAAGAGGAAGAGTTCTGGGATTAGAATGTTTGGGGATTTATGGAAGAAGAAGGGCCAAAAGTGATTTCTTTTCTAATTCAGCGAGTGAATTTATAGTACTTTAGCTATGGTCATGTTTTGGTGGTAGCAGAAGCTGCAAAAACAGTTGCTTCCTGTTGTGTATCTTTCTGGTATCTTATGTAGTCTTTTCTAGTATTATTAAGGCCATTAAGCGTGTAGTTACTATTGCATAATCTGTGCAAGCTAGGGGTGTGAACTTTTGAAAGATGGTTTATATATTTCCCTTCTGTCACTGAGATGAAGGGACTATTTTCTTGGAAGGACATGTTTTTAAGCAGATTTTCCTGTCCGTACTAATATGGAGTAATATCTTGTATGACATATACATCGTTTTCTGTTCACTTGAGTGTGATTCTAAAATTCAACCTTAATATCTATTATGTGTAATGTTTGCCAGTGTGTGCAACTTTACATTGAGCTGGAGAAGATTTGTGTATCAGATGATAACAAAGAGCTCTCTGAAATATTGTGGGAGAAGTAAAGCTAGTTATGAACAACGATAGATGATTTATGAACAATGATAGATGAAAATAATATGCAGAAAGGTGAGAGAGCGAATTCATAAAGTGATAGCCTAACGGCCAATGTGATTGCAATTGAGTTTTAGATGAGCTTTCTAATTCCAAGATGAATAAATCACGTACCAATAAGAAATCTAAAATTATTTGGGGGGATCACTTCGAGGATATTTTTAAGTGTAAGCATATGTGAAAAGGAATAAAATGGTATAGAATGGAATAGAATAAAATACCATACTATTGTTTGGATATTTTATTGGGTTATAAGTTATCTGCAATAACCTCAATACGATGTCATTTTGAGACGGAAATCATGATAATTTTGTAATTTTAATTTATTTCAAGGTTATAATAGTCTTTATATTTATAATTTTTTAAGATTTCAATCTGCAGGCAGAAACATTTTTTCCTATTTTATTATACAAAAAGTATAGTTTCGTTCTCATTATTTCATAAATGAATGGAATGATAAGGAAATTAATGAACAATAAATTAGTTTCATTATATTCCATCCTATATCACCAAATTGAGAAGGAAGATAAGTAAAGATATTAATCAGAATGAAATGAAATACATTCCATTCCACAAAAAATATTGTCTTGGTTTAGTGTCGAGCTTAAGCAATAAGTTCTAATATTTTAGGGAGAGTTACAAATCTCTTGTTTTGGATTTCATGTAACAAATAACTCCTTTGTCAACTATCAGCTGAGCACTTGGTGCATTTAAAGTTGAACCTTAACACTTGAATTCCCAGATATGTCTGCACAAAAAAGATCAAACAATAAACTAAAACCCAATGTCATAACTGAAATCAAATCACACATAAAGCAAGATGCAGTTCGGGAAATTGCGGGCATGCCCCTTTCTCTTAGTTCTATTATGAGTTTAAACAGCAACATGCAACATGCAACCAAATCATAAAATTGAAGGTACCCAAAAACTTGAAATCCCAAAAAGACAAAAACTTTAGCATGCCCTTTTAAGACCCATATCAAATTACACTGAAGTGATACCCTGCCAAATTATATATTTGCAGTACTAGGGTTTAGGGTTTATGAAGTGGAGACCCTATGTTTGTAGTAACAGACAGGGTTTAAGGTTTGGAGTAGCAAGGATATCGATGAAATTAAAGATGCTTACATAAAGTCGAGAACCTCTACTTGTGTCGGTGGGGTTTATATATATATATATATATGAGACAGGATCCTTTGACACCGGTGTCAAAAAAAAAAGTTTGACACCTCATCTGAGAGCCGTTAGATTAAAAAAAATCAACGATTCTGATTTGTAAGCATGTGACACCATTGATTTTTTTTTAATCTAACGGCTCTCAGATGAGGTGTCAAACTTTTCCTTTGACACCGGTGTCAAAGGATCCTGCCTCTATATATATATATATATATATATATATAGGTAAACATTTCTACAGCTACTTTAGATAATGTTATCTACAGCTAGCTCTAAAACTACGTCGTTTTGATTAATGAATGGTGCTTCTGTAATTTTAGGTGAATTAATGAAGGGTATTTTATAATTTTGTTTATTTTTTTATAATATACATTTTACTGAAATACCCTTCATTAATTCACCTAAAACTACAGAAGCATCCTTCATTAATCAAAACGACGTAGTTTTGGGGCTAGCTGTAGATAAACTTATCTAAAATGACTGTAGAAATACTTTTTCCTATATATATATATATATATATATATATATATATATATATATATATATATATGGGGTAAATATTTCTACAGCCACTTTAGATAAATTTATCTACAGTTACCATTTATAACTATGTTCTCATGAGAGAACATAGTTATAACATTAAAGTTGTTTTTTTATCTCTCTCTTCATTTATTTTTCAGAACTTGTTTGCTGAGGTGGAGAGAGAAAAAAAAGCAACTTTAATGTTTTAACTATGTTCTCCCGGCAGAACATAGTTTAAAATGATAGCTGTAGATAACCTTATCTAAAGTGGCTGTAGAAATATTTTTGCCATATATATATATATATATATATATATATATATATATGAGGTAGGTTATACTTACAACTTTTTTTTTTTACAATCTCTTACAACCATATCTTAACAGCGTTGATTTACGCCAATCAACGATTATGATCTTCGCAAATTAAACTCATTAATTAATTATTAATTCACAATAAATGATAACCGTTGATTGGCAAAAATCAACGGTGTTAAGATATGATTGTAAGAGGTTATAAAAAAAAAGATTTTAAGTATAACCGTCCTATATATATATATATATATATATATATATATATATATATATACGGTTATCTATTCCAATTAATTAATTATTAATTTCAAATAAATAATAACAGTTAGATGGACAGAAATCAACGGTTGAGATAGAGAGTAAGAGTTGTAAGTCTTACTCTAGAGTCAAAAGATCCCTCCCCTATATATATATATATATATATATATATATATATATATATATATATATATATATATGAGAAAAATATTTCTTCGGCAACTTGAGATAAATTTATCGCCGACTACTCCAAAACTACGTCGTTTTGTTTATTTATTTCTTTATATTAATTGATTCAGCTTTGAATAATTATGATTTCTTTTTTCTCTCTCTTTCTTTATCACCATTGATCCATCTTTGTACAGTTATGATTTAGTAGTCGAAGATAAAATTTATTTCAAGCAGCTTGAGAAATGATAAGCCCTATATATATATATATATATTGGGTTTTATTTTTTCATGTTGTATGAGAATTGAATTCTCATGTTATGACTCAACTAGTGATGGGTCCCACATTTATTAAAAAAAGAAAAGAAAAAAAGTCTTGCACGCAGATCGAAGGGTCACAACATGAGAATAGAATTTCCATGCAACATGAGTGATATGCCTCCAGCATATATATGATTTTAAGCCAAAAAAGAGAAAGAATCTTGATAAATCTTAGATAACAAGGGCTGAAATTTTTATTAAATTGATAAATCTCAATCAGATATCTTGTCACTGATTTTCTTATATTTTTGTAGAAAAAAGTACAAGAAAGGGGCCTAATTGAACAGCAGAGAAAAAGACAAGATTTGAATCAGAGGAGATTGAAATCAAGAGATATGATCAAGATTTGAATCAAACTATATCAGGAAAGATTGGACCCAAGATATACAATGAAGTTTGATCAAGATTTCTGAGCATGGCACAAACCAGTGTTTTAAAACCTCACCTCGCCTCCCGGGTTGACCCGGGTCAACCCTGACCCCTCCCCTCTGAGGGTTGGGGTCACAAGTTGGACCTTATATGCACATCGACCCCTCCGACCCCCAAAACCCGGCCGGACTTCAATGACTCCCGGGTCAAAGGGGGGTCACTGTATGTTTTTTTTTTTTTTTTTTTAAATTCCACGAAACAATTTTGTTTTATTAAAAAAATAAAATAAAAATGCTTGCAAACCTAAATCTAATCGTTCTCTTCTCTCCCAGGCACCCAACGACCTATATGTATTCAATCTTCACCTCGCAGACGTGAATCTTCTAGAAAAGGTAAGAATTTTATATATTCAAATAAAATCCTTACGGTTGTCGATGAAAAACAAAAACTCATTCTTACTTCCTTTAAATTTTTCTTTGTTAGGGACCTTTTCTAAAGAGGCAAATCCGGGTCAGTGTATTGATCCCATTATAATATGAGTTTTGTACTTTGGTATCTTGATACTTTAATTAGGTTGTGTAATAATGACTTGTGCTTGTAATTAGTGAATTATGTTAAGTATATTTTGAATCTTTGATTATTGGTGGTTTGTTTTTTAATATTTTTATATATGATATATATTTAAATTTTTTTAATATATAAAACCGGGTCAACATAGTGACCCCGTGACCCCCCGGTTGAACCCGTGACTCCATGACCCTTGACCTCGGTCGGGTCGATGGCCGGGCCGGGTTTTTAAACACTGGCACAAACTCTATAAATAGAGACTCAGACTCTAGGGGGTGTTTGTTTCAAGTTTTTCAAGAGGATTACCGGTAATCCTTCTTTGGTAAATGTAATTACCACGTTTGGTAGAAGGAATAAATTACGATTCTCGGATATCCAAGGATTACCGGTAATTTGATTTGTAAAGAAAAGTCACTATTCAGATTACCAAAAATAATATGGTAATTCAGAATACCAATCAGAATACCAAGTAAAGGGAAAGCATAACAATAAATTTTGAGACAAAAATACCCCAATACACATAAAAATCTAGACCCAATCTATCAATTACAAAAGTAAAAATAGTTTGGGGTTATTTTTGTAAAATAACCTCATATTCCAAGTCATATTTCGTTTAAACCAAATATAGAATCAGTAATTTTTACCCAATATTCCCGGTAATATTTTGGCGAACCAAACACCTCTTTCGTAAGATTCCAAGTAAACTCAATTTCTACTGTATTCCCATTAATCATGATTCCCGGTCACCAAAAAATTTCTCTTGTACCAAACACACTGTAGAGGCAAACAATCTTTGGCTGGAGAGAATTGTGGGGTTCAGAGAATTGAGAGAATTCTTGTAGCTCACGCTGGAGATCAGGATTCCGACAGAGTTGAAGACTGAAGACTATTGATTCTTTCTCTTCATCTTCTTCTTCTTCTTTATTGCTTTCATGAATACTTTTTATTTATTTAATTTGTTTAAGCCAGCTATGTCTGACTAATTTGTTTTTGTAGTTGGGATCACAGACCCGATGTGAATACTTTATATTTCCTATACTGTTTTTATAAGTTAATTAATTAGTTTGTTTTATTCTGCCTGTGTTAATTTT